GTCAAAGAGAAGCAAACCTCTCTCTCTCTCTCTCTGGTTACGAGGACTAGAAGATGAGGTGGAGCGCGAATATTTCCTACGGGAGTTCACAATCGATTACTTTTACGACTGTAACTCTGGGGACTCGAATTGAAGTTTCAATCAGTAACTTCTCACGTTTTTTTTTTTTTCGCAAAACTGCCGTTAGTTTGAATTTCTGCGTTATTTGCGCGAATTTTTCGCAGAACATAACTAAGCAGTTCGTGTCGAAATGGCTCAAGAAAGAGACACATAAGGTCGTCCGAAACTGTGCAAAGCAGCAGTCATTCTTATCCGCATGTACGTTATCACCAAAAACCACTGCGATATATTTTCTTCAAAATGTTTTTAATCTTATTGTAAATTCAAATCGAATTATATACAATTTATGGATCGCACAAGTAATCTCGTATATGTGATACACACATGCGTGAATCGAGCAGTTCCTCGAAGCAAAATAAAAATGCGACTTACTGTTTTATTCGTGCGCACAAGACGTTTACACGCACGATTAAAAATATATTTTCGTTTCGAAACTCGCGAGCTGTATGATTTTTATCGAGAAGCCGAGGATAGGTCGCAAGTACGGGCGGGTGCAAAAATGCACAGTTCATAAGGCGCTGATACGGATAAATAAATTCAAGCGTTATGAGTAGCAAGTAGATCTCCCGTCGTCACGAGCGGCGAGCGTTTCACTCGCGCAACCTTCTCTCTTACGCAAGCCGCAGATAAGTGATCGACCTTTTTGTGCGGTTATTCGCGAGCCGAGGAGTAAAGCAGGCACTCTCTTGTGATAATGATACCTAAACCCGTCGTTCGCACGTCCGATTTCGATAAGCCAATTCGAATCAGGGCCCGAATTCATTACCGGCTGTTAACTGTACTCTCGTCGTCGCGCATTATTCGCGCTCATTAATTGATACGTTGGAATTCTGCATTCAGCATTATATGTTATTCTGCAATTAGCGACCCGAACATAATTCGATCGTTCTAACCCGATCGAATTCGTTCAGAAAAATCCACGTGTGTCACGATTAAAATCCGCTAAATTTACTTTCTTCCACAAAGAAGATATGGTAAGAATATATAAAAGATAAGAATATCTATCTAGATAGAATATTAAAATCTCAATAATATCGTAAATCTTTCTAACATGAAGTAGTAATATTACAAAGAATAATATCGATAATATCAATCGCATTGAGAGGATCAGGTTCGTCAAGAAAAGCGCAGATCGACGTGTTCGCGTATTGTGAAACTGCGTGCTTCCGATGAATCGTGCTAGATAATCATTACGTGACAGAGCGGCGCGATTGCGTGGGAAAAAAGAGAAAGACGCAGGAAGGGAACATTGTGTTGTGCGGACGTTTATAGTCGATGAAGTGGGAAGACGGCGGGATCTTTAAGCTTTTATGTACGATTCACCGACATGCGGAGGAGTCGTCCACGAGCGTCTAGAGGAGGATTATCGTCCTCCATCGCTTTTCTCATCGTCAAAGACGTTCCATCATAGAGATGTGCTGTGTTGCACCGTCGCTTCCTCACGGCGACCATTGTCCAATCGCGAAAAGTCCTCCACTGCACAGAAAAAGGTGGGACGATACCGTCATATTAAACCTTGACCGTGTCGGACTGCATGCGGCCTACACGAGACTCGCGAACAAAGTGCAACGTTTACGATTTTTACAGTGCGTGCACGTGTGTCGCACCTACGCGCCTACCTTTGGAATCGAGTGACGGCGGCCAAACGAATTCGAAACGTTTCGGGCCCTTTCTTGCTCACTCGTGTGTTGTCCACAGTTATTCGAAATAAAAGTTCGCGCGTTGATTTTCACGGAGGGCTGCCGCGTGGCACGCGAAACGCTTGACCTGTTAGTGAAAGTCTCTTACGAGCGATACGAATTTCGACAGGTAACACCAAACTGAAGCGAAGAGTAATATCAGAATCTATTTAATTAATTTAATTTATTTAGAGAAATAAGAACGAAATATTTCGTTCGATAAAAGTTCAGCTCAATAACTACGTGCTTGTGTATTATTAAGTAACGTTTCGCAACGTTCACTCTCTCGATATCAGTCGATGTATCCTATGACGGGATGTACATGTTATTTTTAATCAATTATATTGCAGCAGAAGTGAACGGAAATTTTTCACCGCGACGCATTTGCTTTGTGTTCACTTTCAAGTGAGCCACTATGCAGTCTGCTGTGCATGTCATTCGAGTCTAAAAAAAAAAGAGAGGTTGCATTGTCATCTCGATTTAACAGCAATCGAGAGAAAATACTGCGAAATTACCAAGTTTTAACATAACTGATTTCTGATGCGTATGCAGAGTTCTAGTTGCGCAAGTTTACGAAATTACGTACGAGATCGGAATTCGATAAGCGGAATTTTAAATTGCGACATTTAAAATCGTCACAAGCGAGTATTATCTCGACCCCGGTGAAACAAGCTTCGATTGAGAATACAACGAGGAGACAAATTCATTCGTCGGAATTTTTCATGCGTAATGATACAACATGGCTGTCATTCGCACTTCGCTTTGACCAATTTCACTGAGGGAAACCTCGCTAAAATTATAATTCCATTTTCGCGAATTTCAACTATATCTTCTGGCTTCAGCCCGAAATGTATATAAGGTGTCCCAAACTTTTCTTTCAATCGCTCGTATGAAGATAGAACAGGTTGAACTGATCAAAAAAGTCCTCCATCTTGCGAACAACCGCACAAAATTTGGATTGACGATTGAAAATGGTTATGTATAGAGATTTTTTTAAGTAATAACTAGTAAATTTGCAAAGTGGTTCAGAACTTTTTTTATTCACAGCGGCCTAATCTACAAGAATTTTTATTCAATCGATCGCTTTCAGTTATCTCAACCGAGTTTTAACGAATATACAAACGAATGTTTTCGCAGACTCGCAACGACAGAAATATCGTCTCTCGCCATCATCTAGTTTTTATTTTCTCTCCATTCTTTTATACGAACCGACATTTTTTCCATATACATGTATATATATTGTATATTACCAAAAATCTATCATTTTCGACAGATGTCAAAGTATTCCGCCGGTTTCTAACATTTTAATATCCGTCGATCGCGACATATTTTCCGAATACAGATCTCACTATTCGCGATCATTTCTTTCGGTTTTTCCCGGTCGAGATAGAATCAGCTAAAATATCTGGCAATCATAGCCGACTCCGTCCGTGCAGTCTCAGGTAATTCGATATCGATGGTGAATTTCGGTCGTACGGCCATATCGCGCGTATCTCCGAAGTGATTCCGCCGAGGAAGGCTGAAATATTTCACGATCGCGCTTGATATATCGTTCGTGAAACGTCGTTGAGCGGAACGCGAAGCTGCGCTCGCGTGATCGTCATTCGCGACTGTCATCGAACGACGGGCTCGGCTCGTAGAGGATGACCGAAAATAGCTTATAATCCGACCTAATGGCCGCTTATAAAGCGAACTCGCTCGGTTCAAGCCAGCACACGTCGGGTTTCCGCAATGGGAGGGATTTCGCCGGGCTTTCCTGAATGGCCGGTGACGCATCGCGATGCGCGGATCGTTATTACTCCGTTATTATTCAGAAGCGAAGCGATGGAAGAACGGCTAACGAGATTTACGAGACCGCGACGAACGCGTCGTTCACGGGATAACTCGGCGAGATTGAAGACCGTGGCGCATAAAAAAAACAACGTAAGCAAATTGACCAATCACCAGTTGATTATCCTTCGACCGCAAGGAGAACAATCGACTGTGGTTGGTCAATTTTGCCTTTCTAATAGGGCAGAAAATATCGATGCTGTTTAAGTGACGAAAAAATGACCGTGGAACTTATTTCTCGATTACTTTTTCCCATTGTTTTAATGTGATTCTCGCGTTATTTTTTCCACTACTTGGGTTACCGCTTACGTTTTTGCGCGTGTCTAAAACCGAGAAACGACGCACAACGGCCGGATTTATTGAACCAAATTGATCGAGCGCGAATCGATCGATCCATCGCCAAGTTCGTACACGACATCGAGGTACTTCGTTCTCGTAACGGCCATCCTCGCCCAAGGTTGTGTTCTATTTTCCTTATCCGACGAGGGAACTCGGACTAGCGGAGGATATCATCGTGACATCACGACGATCTCGATCGCTATGGAATAATTCATCTGATTCCTCCTTTGGTCGAAGACCGAAGACCCTCCTGTTCTCGAAGAGAACAAAGCTGTCGTAGTAGAGAGCAAAACGGTTTAGACACACTGTTGGGAACGCAGTCGATGGTCCAAGAAGAGAGTTTATTTTTGGCTAATTTTTTCTCTCGTTGGACCATTGGCTGCGCTTTAAACTTTACTGCGTCTGAACCAAAGTTGTGCCATGGATTGCAAAGGGGAAGACCAATCTCAAAAATAGAGGTATATAACCCCCTCCCCCCTCTTTTTTTTTATTAAGAAAATTGGTGAGTTAAAGGAAAAGTTTGCTAGTTGAATAGTAGAAGATATCTCGGACATTTTCGTAAAAAAAGGTTTATCGTATTTTTATTTATTATAAAGTTACTAGTTTATTTGCAAGATTATCATTAGTGTTTTATCGATAAAAGTGCCTCTGAAAGTAGATTAGAAGCTACCTGATTGGACGAGAAATCACAACTAAGGCCACTTTTATCGATAACAGTGAATTCAGAATAGATCATTATCTACGTATAGATAATATATAATACATACCTTGCATCGTCTGTAGATAGACATAGACACAGTTGTATTCTACGTGTAAACGCGCGTAAACCTGAAGTCTAAATCGCTCTGTCGTCCCCCCCGCTGCACATCCGCCGTCGAGACTCGCCGCGGCAAACGCGAATTATACCTGAAGTTATCTCCCGGGCGAATATCGCTCCTTCGGCGCACTCGATTGGCTGATCGATGTTCGCGCGCGCACACCGGGGACGTATGTACCGACACGGCTAACGACGCCGCGGTTTCTTTGTTTCAGGTGGCCCGCGGCGACGTCCAGTTCGAAACACGCGCTATCTCCGCCGGCCGACCCACGTGGTACGCCGTCGTATCGACCAGCGGACGGCCGGCGCGCCGATTGGCCCGGCCGACTCACGCGCAACGTCAGGTTCGAGCTGCCGTCTGCTGGCAGTGTCAAGTGGACTCGGTAACGTACGCTCGGCGAACAAAGGATCATCCGCGGTAAGTCTCTCGCTGGCTCTCCCGCACGGCCCGTCGTCGTAGTTTCCCGCGTCCCGTCGCCTCGTCGAGATCGCCTCGTCGTTGAACGCGTCGCGCCTGCCGCCACGACGAATTCGCGCGACGAAAACTCGTCGCGCACGCAGTACTCGAACGGCGGGGGGTGCTTCTCGCGGTGCTCGCTTTGACAGCTCGCAGTGACAGTCGCGCAGCGGATCGTCGTCGAGTTTTCTCGCTCGTCGGACGCTCTGTCATCGGTAGCCGAGGAGCCACTTGGGAGCGACGAAACGGGAGGCCCGTCGACGAGACACCACCACGCTCCGGAGATGCTCGGGTAAATCGCTCGGGCATCGGAAAGTCTCGATTTCCCTCCCCCCGCCGGTTAGGTCTTTCGCACCTCTCTCTCTCTCTCCTTCGTATCCTCCCCCCCTCCTCTCTCTCTTTTTCCCTTCTTCTCCGTGTGCGTGCAGGAGAGAGTCGCAAGACTGAGAAGCATATTATATCCTCATTGCCGCGACCGCGAACTTCGAATACTCCGCTGATCGCGTTTCCTCGTTTGGTCGAGTCCCGCGGCCGGTGGTGCGCGGACTTAAGATGTACAGTATGAACTACATCGGCAAGTTCATCAGTAACTTCCGCGACTTCTACAACGAGATCAATGCGGCGACCCTCACCGGCGCAATCGACGTCGTCGTCGTGGAACAGCCGGACGGCTCCTTCGCATGCTCGCCTTTCCACGTCCGCTTCGGCAAGCTCGGAGTGCTCCGCTCCAGGGAAAAAGTGGTGAGTTCCCCCATGTCGAGCACTATCGGCTGTTTACCGCTGAGTAAGCGCGAGCTCGCTGATAAGACTGGTATCGTAAATGCCTGGTGTGTCATTCAGGTGAAATTATTATGGCCAACTTGTTTTTCAATTTTTTTCAACGTTGAACGCATTCCGGATGATCGATGTGAAGAATTAGCTTCGAAATCAACCTTATCTATCTCTGTTTTTTTTTTTAATCATAATTATCTTTTCTCTGTCTTTTTGTGCACATTACTTTTTACATCAATCTTGTTGAAGTAAATGGTTTTCCTATTTATATATATCCAGAAATATATGTAAATGTATCTGAAAATATGTTTTGTTTTATGAAAATATAAATATGTTAGGAGTTATTATATATATTTTCCTATTTGTTTATATGCTTAAGATATGACTTGTCGGGTACAGGAAGTGTTTCTTCATTCACAGGTGGACATTGAGATAAATGGAGAGCCTAGACAGATTCATATGAAACTCGGGGACTCCGGCGAGGCCTTTTTCGTAGAAGAAGTAGGCTCGGACGGGTCCCCAACTGACAGAGAAATTCCTCCGCATCTCGCCTGTTCGCCTATACCGGATGACAATTGTTTTCCGCCCTCGCGATTCAACCTGCTGTCGGATCTGCCTCCGGAACAGAGGGAGAAAATTCTCATCGATTCGGTTCTTTCCATCGAACGCGAGAAATGGGAGCAGATGTCGGCCTTGCCACCCGATCAGCGGGAGAAGTTCCTGGTGGAACAGTTCTCAGATCTCCCGACGGAACATCGTGAGAAATGGCTGCAGATCGCTTCGCTCACCGCGGAAGAGCGGGACGAAATGTTCAAGGAGAGCTTCGGTACGATATCGACGCTGCAGAAACAGCAGATGATCCGGGAACAATATTCCGCCTTGAAGACCGAGGACAAGGAGCGATTGTTCAAGGAGAACTTCCCGGAATTGCCGATCGAGCAGAGGCAGAAATTCGAGAAAGCTCTGCTGAGCGACTGGAAAGAAAAAGAGGAGAAATGGGAAGAGAAACGCGACGTGAATTCTAAGGACGAAGACGATGAGATATTCGATATGGATGCCATCAACGACGAAGAGCCCAAGGTGGCGATGTCGACGCCCAAGTCTTTCGTAGCTGTCACCTCGTCCGAGAGAATTCGCAAGATCAGCGTGGTGAAGAACGACTTTAGACCGATCACGGATGATCCTCAGAGCAGCAGCAAGGAAAAGTCCAGCGACGAGTCGAACCCGTCCCTGAGCAAGAAGAACTCGAAGGAGGAGAACGTCGAGGAGGTGAAGAGTAGTGGTAACAGTTCCACCAAGAGGAAACGCAAGAGGAAGAGTATCATGAAGAAGAAAGGATCACAGAGGAAGACTAGCAACGGCAGCAGCAGCCAGACGGAAATGAGCGAAACCGATGTGCTTGTTACCGAAGAGTCGGTCAATGAAACCGTAAGTAATGTACAGGCCGTCACATACCGTATGAACTTAAGTGTTTCTTCAGTCCAACGAGCCTCTTACAAGTGTCCCATTTTTGTAACACACATATTCTTTAAAGATACTGAAGGGTCCTACTCCGGTGTCAGAAATCGAGAAGAAAGGTGCAGAAATTGCTACGTCCGCTCACGATACGCCCGTCGAGATACGCCCTGAAACCGACTTTCACTTCTTCAGCGACACGGAAGTCACCAAGTGTGTAATCTACGAACAGTTTTTTTCTCAGCGCGCTACGTAAGATACATTTATTGACTTCTTTTTTTTCGTCTTCGAAAGGAATCAAGAATCCAGACCGTCCTCGCCTGTTCAGTCGGACACTGAATTTGAGATGCGCAAGATCACGCAGGAGGGCAGCGAGCGGGAGGACGACAAGAGTCATCAGCAGAGCTGGAGATGGGGTGAACTGCCTAGTCCACCTCCGGAGCCGGCGCATATGTCGCACAGGAACTCGTTGAGCTCCTCGGCGACGGCCAGTCAGCCGAACAATGGTTGGTGTATAATTTTGTTATTCCACATCATACATACATTTGAGGCCCAAACGTTATTCATGATTAACACCACCTTGTATATTTCTAAATGGAAAGCGCCTATTAGGCGGATTTTCCCGTTTACATTTCGAGGGACTAACAGTCATGATTCCTTGATAAGATCTCAAGGTAGTTGGTCCGCAGATTTATTTTCGTAGGAATTTTCAAATGTTTACATTAGTCGAAACACGGTCTACACGCATGCAAAATTACAAAGTTGATTGGCTATACTGAAACCGAAATATTTATATGTATCACAGGGACAAAAATGGCTTTCGATCGGTCACGTTTATAATTTCAGCAACCAAACTATTCTTGTGGTTTTAAGAAAAAAAAAAGAAAGAATGATAAAAGAGATTTGTAAAAATATTACAAGATTGTGATCATTCAGTTTTTTTTTCCAGAAATTAATGTAAAATACACAATTTCTGATGACGTTTGAAGTATGGACAGTTAGTCTAAGAAGTTTTGGCAATATTTCACGCGTTATATTTCTCTTTATGCATCTTGGTCAGGCATCTTTTTAAAGATAGAATGATTAAATAATCTTGAAGGTCTATAACTATCGACACGTAAAAATATATTCAGAAATATATCTAATAACACAGACAGTCCCAGGCTAAAAGTATTAAACGTGAGAGTGCAAAAGCGTTTATTTCTCTATGGATTTTGAAACATTATGTGAATTTTTGATTGATTTTACTGTTCTCGTCAAAGAGCGTCAAAGCGGCATATCATAAATCGTGTTTATAAACATTTAGCATAGATTTGTTAAGCTTCTTCGTGTCGTATCAACCGTTTCAAACGGTATTGTCGCGAACCAACTATCTTAACATACCAGTATCGTCAGACTCTTAATCTTTTTTTTTCTGCCATGGAAGAAACTAACTCCGAGTTGCTTGATCGCTAATAATTACTGACTAACCGCTTTTTCAATGGCAGCAGATGCACACCGATCTATGCTCAGTGGCATGTTCTCCTTTATGAAGAAGACCTCTCGCGTAAGACACAATCCGGAATCAGAGGGAATTTATCTTAGCGATCTTAATGCCGACGAGCTGGATCCCGAAGTTGCGGCACTTTACTTTCCCTCCTCGCATCGAGGCCCGACGGTAGTTAAAGGTATATGGTAACACGCTTTTGTGCTTCAGTATAAATGTGTGTACACGATCGAAACTAACATTTTTAACTACATCTTTTCCAAATTTTCTTTTTTTTCCAACCACATTCGCGTATCGAATATCTCATCGAAGGCATTTTCGCATTTTTCGCCGATGAAATACTTTTCGGCGTTTTAAGCTTGAACACTATACAAAAAGATTTCACAAAAATTCACGTTTCTATTTCTTACGTTTGTGTCTTGAGAACAGAAGAAGGATGCAGCTTTTTGTTACAGCAACATGAAGAAGAACAAATGACTAACAAAACTGCGCATATCTGTAAATAGAAAGTCTCTGTTGCCTTAATTAATTAAAACCAACTGGTGTTGTGGATGTTGTTTTCTCTTAGTTAATATTTCATATTTTATGTATACAACTGCGATATGCGTGTACTTACAGATGGAAAAACAGTCGATGAAGAAGATACGGAATCAGGTAACGGACCGAGCTTACCTCAGAGCCCCAATAGCGTTGAGGGAGCTATCGGTGGGCCGAAGTCGGTGGATAGCGATTTCGAGGAACCAAAGCACTCGATATTCGATAACAATGTTGAGATCAGTCTGTCCCTGTGCGGTGGTTTGGACAGCGAGAACGGACCGTCCAAGGAGGCTTTCCACGAGAATTTACTGCAGTTCGAGGACGTTTGTGCCGATCCAAAGTTGTACGAGAATCCGAGCTTGGTCGTGAAAATCAATGGGAAATTCTACAACTGGAGCACAGCCTGCTCGATAGTAATGACTTACGCCGTTTTCCAAAGGCACCTACCGCAGAGCGCGATCGAAAATCTGTACACGCAGTACATGTCGTTGCCGGTGCACGAAGACAAGAAACAGCAGAACAGCGGCAAGCCCGAAAGCCGTAGTGGATACAGCTCGTGGTTCTCTTGGAGACGTTCCACGCAACCTACTAAAAAATCGCAAGATATTAGTCAAAGTAAGGCTCATTGAGAATTTTATTCCATATTTCTCTAAGCCTCAACCATCACACCAACCACGTGACAGCGGTTCTTTTGGAACCTATATAAGAAACATTTTTTAAATATTTTTTTTTCTTGGATTTTTTAGAATAATTTTGAAATGGAAATTATACACACTCACACAAAATTTTCAAATAAAATAACGATGGACAATTTCATTCTCGTACAATTAATATTAATACTGACAATATTAATAGTTAAAATCTAGACCATCTGTGTTTCGCTCCTGACGGCTTTTCTTGTTATTATCCTTATTATTATTTCGTGAAATTATATATTGTGTGCATTTTTTTTTTAACATTCCTGTTTATTTTCTCTCAGCTGATGGGATTGTCGTGCAGACGTCCGAACAATCTCTGGAAGCCAAGTCTGCGACGAATGAAGAAATATCTTCTACTAACAGGTAGAACTTAATCACCGCTCTGCTTTCACTTCTTCATTTCACCGTATTGTTTTGAATTCTATCCATTATATCTTTACAGGGAAATAAAGACTGAGCAAACAGTGGACTCGTCGAACACGGCCGAAGTGATGGAAACCTGTCCGAGATTGGCAACCGTAAGCAAAGAAACCGCGCTCACGAAGACTGAGAAGACGCGTGAGAGAGAAGGCGAAGGCTACAGTGGCAGCGAGGATTCTGACAGCAATCAGAACGAGCCACCTGGCGTAAAGATGCCCATGGAAAGAAGACCATACTACGAGTCCACGGAGAAGTATCGTAAAACTTTACGACTTTCGTCCGAGCAGATAGTGAGTGTATCTACGTATTTCAAGTATTGAGTCAATCAGTTGGATTCAGTCGAACGTTTTTATAGTTAAATACAAGCGAATGTAACAAGTGTCGGTTACTTTACAGGCGAGCCTTGGTCTTAAGGACGGTCCTAACGAAGTGGTCTTCAGCGTGACCACTGCTTACCAGGGTACAACGCGCTGCAAGTGTCACATTTACAAGTGGAAGTGGGACGACAAGATCGTCATCTCCGATATCGACGGCACTATCACAAAATCCGACGTATTGGGCCATATTCTGCCGATAGTGGGCAAAGACTGGGCCCAGTCCGGAGTCGCTCAGCTGTTCACGAAGATAAAAAACAACGGCTACAAACTGCTCTATCTTTCAGCGAGGGCGATCGGCCAGGCTAAGGTTACCAGGGAATACCTAAAGAGCATAAGGCAAGGGGATTTGTCATTGCCGGAAGGCCCCTTGCTCTTGAACCCTACTAGCTTAATCTCGGCGTTTCATCGTGAAGTGATCGAGAAGAAACCGGAAGAGTTCAAGATCTCATGTCTCAGCGACATTCAGGCGTTGTTCCCTGAGGATTCTAAACCGTTTTATGCTGGATACGGGAATCGAATTAACGTAGGCGAAGTGACATTTTACCAATCATCGGTCGTAACTCGCGAGACAAATAGCGAACTGTAATGTAAGGATTGTTTTATCTGCGCAGGACGTATGGGCGTATCGAGCAGTAGGCATTCCCACAATGCGGATCTTCACTATAAATCACCGAGGAGAATTGAAGCACGAGCTGACACAAACATTCCAATCCTCGTAAGTGTTTTATCACTTGTCGTTTGTTAAAATAACAAATGTGTGATATTTCCTCTCTGTGAAAAGGAACACGTAATGGCGAAATTAGGAAATGGAGTGTGTATTTGATTACCACTCGAGTAGTCGTATACGTGATATCGATCTAACTGCTATTTAATTTTACGTAGTCTCAAGGAGGTTGTGTAACTCAGTGTCGTATTTTCAGTGGCGCATCAAGGGAAAAGGGGCCACTCATAAATTTAGCATTTATGTTTGTAACTATTCAAGTAAATGTTAAAAATTTGAAACGAAGTTGAAGTAAACTTTGTATGCATACTATATACATACATACATACATACATACATACATACATACATACATACATACATACATACATACACATACATACATATATATATATAGTGCAAGTTTCATCAAATTCTTATCAAACTCGTTTCACCTTACAACCTCCTTGGTACTTATTTTTCTACTTATTTTTCTACTTATTCTACTTATATAATTCTCTTCCATGCTTGGTAGCATTTTTTTCTTTTTTTTTTCTCCAATGCAGTCTTTCCGAACAATACTTTGTCTCTTTTGAAATAATACCTACTCTATGAGATACTTGCATGATACCTTGTTACATCGATCTAGGACAATACTTACTATTATTAAAGCGGGGTCCCGTTATCTGCAGATGGGAGCTAATTGAGATTAATCGAGGCTAATCGCAATCTTTACCGCATGGCTCACGCGACACTGAATCTTACATGATCGTTTGAACTTTCCTTTCAAACGAACTTTTGTATCTTCCGAGCTTACTAATGAAACTTACACGAGTCGAATCGTCGACTTTGAGCATTTCAGAAAAACTTAAACCAACGAGCAAACCGGATGCATTGTTTTGCACTAAACCGAATGATGAGAGCACTTAAAAATACTAGAAAAATGAAATGACTAAATTGAGAAGAAAGTACGAGCTCTTTATTTCGCAGGAGAATACTGATAGGCCGGATATTTCTGTGATTACAGTTACGCGTGTCAGTGCGATATCGTCAATGAGTTGTTCCCGCCGCAACCCATGCCGAGCATCTACTGATAGCGGCGCAACCATATATAGTCGTAATTCTAATCGGGCCGTATAGCTACAACTCGAAACGCGATCGTTTGTCGAAGTAACGCTCGTTAACGCCGAGCATCACCGGTATCACCGGTGCTGCGTTTGGCCGCGTCGTCGTTGCGTCATGCACTTGGAATACCGCCCACACGCATAACGCAATCCGCTCTCTTCATCCTCCCCGACAATTGACACAGTAATAAGTCGAGAAAGCACATGTTCACCGTGCGCATCCGTGTGGGAGGATACATGTGTACGAGCGAGACATGACTGACGACCAGCTGTCGGGGGGAGGAGGGACTTGGATTTTCCCGATATATACACACACGCACGTTCCGTGTTCGGAGCCGGTTTTGCAGTAGACGTAAAAAAACGCAATTAGTTGCCTCCTAGTATCACTGTACTATGTTTTTGGGATATTTGGTTGTGCGACAACAACTACCTACCTACCTTATGATTTATAGGGTAAGCACTTGTTTATACCACTCGCTTCTTTTGTCACCGCTTTGGCGCACGCTTTGGTTTACTCAGCCATCTTAACAATCTCATCGCCGGAAAATCTCGACACGTACTCCTCACGCAAGTTTCGGGCAGAGTTGAGGAGGATTATCAGTCGCTGACTGTTCGTAACGTTCTCGAACGGCGAGAAGGCAAGGGAGGAGGAATGCGGTTCGGGAAACGTTCACGTCGGAACTTTTCTCAGGCTCGCTTCGTCTTGATTCGCTTGTCATCCGTATAAGCGGACTGGTCGATTCTCCGCGTGTACGTAGACTGGAAGAAGAATTCGGCGCGTGCGTCGACAAACGTCCGAGCGTTGCATCCTCTCGTCTTAATATTATATATTGATATTAAAAGTACTAAAAGATCCGTGATTCGGCTCTTAAAGGCTCCGATACTCTTCTTTATGTTCGTATAATAATTGTTTCGACCGAGCACCTCAGACCGAACACACACAGACACACGCGCTTCATGGTCACTCTCGACTCACAAATTATGATCCAGCTATTTTCACAATGCACGGACGATCATAGCTTGTCAGCCTAAGTGTCATGCTTCCATGATCTCTCGATTTACATATCATCCGCAACTGAATACAACTTGCGTGATTAACGGTGTTCATGTTCATCCTTCTCGTAATTCACATCGCACCGGGGAGTCTCTCTGCGTTTCTATCGCATCGTACGCGAGCTTTTCCACATCGGAGTCCACATACTCGTTTAATATCCGTGTATGTTCATCTCACACGTGTAACACCCGGCGCATCGCGCGTCGAGCAGCATTTCGATCGGCAGAATTCTCATGGCGTCTGTTTCCGCCTCGGTTCGTGCGATCGATTAATTTTCTGTAAACGGGTTACGGGCGTGCGCATATAATTTAAAGCATTCTCGTTCCAGCCGTAATACTTGACGAGCTTGTGACGGACATTACGACGAACGTGCGACACACACGTACGCGTTTGCTGATCTTTGTTCTCTCTCTCTCTCTCGTTTCAGATATTCGAACATGAGTTTCATCGTCGATCACCTGTTCCCGGCATGGCGCGAGGACGCGGCCGACGAGTTCAGTAACTTCTCATATTGGCGGGAGCCAATTCCGGAAGTACCGATGCTCGAGGACCTTTAACCCTCAGACCGAAGCCACTCGGGGGACTCGCCTACTATTCCGCAACCAGTCATTCGCTTGTACCACGAACCATCGTCGTCATATTTAAGCTAACTTTTATACCCTGCGCATTGACCGTTAGTGGCCTTGACGAGTGTGATTGTCCAATGCGACGCGTTATCAGGAGTTACCTCGGGAATGCGAGCGGATTTATTTCACCACGCGGAGGCATTATAACACACGTGAACAAATTTTAACCAACCAATCGCGCAGTCCATCACTCTTTGGACAGTGGAGGAGGAACATTTGATTGTTCGGCTTGGACTTAATTCACTCACTGTTTTACGACTAAAGTTTTTTCACGTGCAAAATGGCCTTTACTCGAACTTGCGTCGGATGTTGAGCTTCGTATTCGGATGTGATGCCGGTTCTCGTCAACGCCGATTAAACCTTAACCTGGATTTAAACTCTCCTTGGACAGACTTAAGCCTTAGATTAAGACTTAATCGGCGTTGATAGAAACGGATGTGAGCGGTTAAGCGTGTCATCTGGATATTGTTTAAGTAATACTTTTGTAGACGGTCTAAAGGGTAAAAAATTTATTCGCGCTGTATCTTACGGACATTCCAGCTTCGTTGCACACTCAGGTAACAGACAGAAGCAAAACATTGCGTTGGAATATACTTGGTTGCATATATTCGATATTATTAATTGGATCTAATCACACCAGTCAATGTACACAGCGTGCCTAGTGATTAGATATACGATATAAGCAAATGCTTCGGATTAACTCAAGCAAATCTTGTATACACACACTGCGCTTGATGAGATCAATTCAAGCTCTTATAAGCGATACGATCAAGTCGGCATTGAATACACTTTGGAGCATTGATAGCCAGGTAAAATTTCGAACGATCTTATGCACGCCCGGCATCATCTATATATCTCATTCTCACAGTGGACATTCTCATTATGCTAGAAAGAGAGAGAGAGAGAGCCTCGCTTATCACCACACAATTCACACACACATACACACACACACGCAACTTTTATACAAGCAATCTAATTGTCTACGTACATGCTGTGAATTTTCTACATTGAGCTGCGTTGGAACTTTGCTTACTGTAATTGGTGATAGAGAGAGGGGAGAGAGAGAAGGGGGGAGGGAGGAGAGTATTGTCACGATTATAATGTAAGATATACTAGCAGGTGGCAGTTAGCAGGAGGAATATTTATATGTCGTTTACGTTCCCTATTTTTATTCAGAGAGTCGTAATTTATTTTTGTATGAGATCTCTATTAAGTTAGCGTGCTGTGAAATCGCCATATTTGAAAGGATGATATATCATTTGCATTGTGATATTTCTGATCAATTTAGGGCTTACACAAAGTAGGTTATGTGTACGGACATGGACATTTCCTTTATGAGGCGTTAACATGGTTCCACGAGATACGAACTTATCCTATTTTCCGTAGATCGTACGTGATATAATTTTAATTTATTCAATTGCCCCTGTAATTACGGTTTTTGTAATATTATATCTGCCAGCCTTTGTCTTTCGTACGTTACCTAAAACCGCATCATTGACATATAGATTAAATGATTTTCCTTTTTTTTTTTTAGCTCGGTTGATTTAATTGTGAAAGCATGGTCGGCTAGTTCGTTCCTCTTGCTTCTCCAAGAGTCATACCGTTGCAGTAATAAAGGTACAATTACATCCAACCAAAGAGGATAGAGTTAAATCCGCAATAGGTTGTCTCTTGTTAGGTAAAATAATTAGACTGTAAATGTTTATGCAAGTATAAATTTTCATGAGAGATAGAAAAATAAAGCTGAAATCGAAACATGGCTTATCAGTGGAATACAAATTCTACATCTGTAGAATGAAATAAGTTTCGATTTATTTATTTTTCTATCTTACCCTTATTGATATACGTATTTACACAAACACCTGCAGTCCAATGGTGATGCATTCATTGCAATGCAATGAGGTAAGGCGAAATTACAGCGAACGAATTGCAAATAGTTCTAAGCGTATTTTTTTGTTTAGCCAAATGTGATCTATAGCACGGAGAAAAATTGACAAGTTTAGTAGAAGAATTTAGGACCTTAGGTGTTGTATAGATTTTGTATTCCTGTTTGAGAACGCATCTTCGTTTAATGATCATTTCGATGTATAATATACATATTACGCTACATGTAGTCATATTGTATATTTGTAATTGTTAAATATTTAATTTGTAGCATTATATTCATTTTGTTATAATCCATTATTTCTAGTACAAATAAATCCAGTCTTTTTATAATTCCTTTTAGTTTTGTTTATGTAATGTAATGTTATAATTTGTTTATTTAATGTATTATTATAGCTATTTTTCATAATAATGAAAACTGAATTCTCCATTTTTCAATATATATAAGTTTAAATTTGAAAACTCTCGAGGTAATATTACGTAAAAAAACATGAACGTGTTTCGTACAATTGGAATTGTTAGGTCCGATTATCTCCTTACTAAATAAAGTTAATTTCCACACGATTGGAGACATATTCGATAGTTATTTTGTATGCAATATGATAATGTTAAAATTAGCGTTATATACGGAATGATGTCTATCGATTAAGCTTTGTCGATAACAATTACCTGTTTAAGATGATCTCATCCTCATGATGTAATATGTTCCATTAGATTCAGTTTACTAAATTCTTATTCTAGCTGTATTAGCACGTCGCTACGCTTCTATATGTAATAAATGTATGTCCTTTGAAATCATAAACAATAAAAACCACAAAAAATGGCTGCTTCATCGTAATCGAGTTGCAATATCACTCTGTAATAATGAAAATTCCATATCAAACGCGACAAGAAATTCAAATACCCAATGTCTCGTTTCTCGATATTATGTCAAGATATGTTTTATTAATTGCATTTTCTATGCAGTTACTGTAAACATATCTCATATATATATATATATAAAACGTGATAAATATTATAACGATTTATTATCGTATCTTGCTTTCACAGATGTTCTACTCGGCCAACGAGTCTTAGTCTGAAATAATGAATATCTTATGTTGTAATAGATTTATCGTAACATTGTACCAGGACATGGATTATGTTTGTGTTGCATACAGATAGAAATTACAATATTCTGCAAATGTTTTACTAACAGTATACCTGATATTTTAATTTCTGCATGCTTTTCTGCCCAATGTCATCATTATCTGAGTATTCTATGGACTCGATGGAAGATGTACTATGTCTATTATCAGGGTGAAGATCAAGAACTACTTCGGGTATATTATTACTGACTCGTTTTGGGGATGTATCCCAGTACCAATAATATATTGCCTATGAATATCGTTTGAAAAATATGGTGAATGAAATTACCATATACCAGGTGTAGAAGTTTGAAACCGGAATTTTTTGGTAAAAATTACACGTCTGTTGTTTGAAAATGATAAAAAATATTTTATTCAAAATAATGTCCATTCCTATTTATACATTTTTCCCACCTCTCCGGCAGTTTATGAATGCCACGCCAAAAAAACATTTCTTCTTTTGAAGCGAACCAGCAATTGAGCCATTCTCGTACATTTTCATACGAATTGAAGCGTTGTTCAGCGAGAGCGTGTCCCATTGATGCGAATAGATGATAATTGGATGGAGCCAAGTCTTGGGAATAAGCCGCATGCGTTAGTATTTCCCAACTGAACGCCTCGATCGTTTCCCTGACTCGTTTTGCTGTGTGTGATGGGGCATTATCATGGAGCAAAATGACTTTGTGTTGCCTTTTTCTATATTCCGGTCGTTTCTCACGCAATGCTCGATTTAAATCGATCATTTGCTGTTGGTAGCGATCAGTGGTAACGGTTTCACCAGGTTTTAGCAGCTCATAATAGATTACACCCTTCTGATCCCACCAAACACAGAGCATTGTCTTCTTTCCAAAACGATTTGCAGTGGATGTCGATGGTTCGCCTGGATTCACCCATGATTTCTGACGCTTAGGATTCTCAAAATATATCCATTTTTCATCACCTGTCATGATACGATGGAGAAATGACTTTCTTTTGTATCTGTCGAGCAGCATTTCACAAGTGGTTTTTCGATTTTCTTGCTGTCTTTCATTCAGTTCATGCGAAATCCATTTTCCCACTTTCTGAATTTTTCCCATGGCTTTCAAACGAATTGAGACAGCTTTCTGCGTCACATTCAATTCATCCGCGAGTTCTTGTTGAGTTTGAGTATCATCTTCATCCAATAAGGCTTGCAATTCGTTGTCTGCGAACTTTTTCGGTGGTTTCCCACGCTCTTCGTTTCTCACGTCAAAATCACCACTTTTGAATTTTTTGAACCACTCGAAACACTGTGTTTTACCAAGAGCATGTTCATCGTAAGCTTCGACAAGCATTCGATGCGATTCTGCAGCAGTTTTCTTCAAATGATAACAAAAAACCAATGCTGTCCGCAAATCGTAGTTCGTAGGCACAAAACTCGACATGTTTAAGGTTATAGAAAAATATACCGGTGTATGGTCTTACGGTCCCTAAACTGATGGTTAGCACCATCTATAGGGAAATTCCGGCTTCATACTTCTACACCTGGTACATGATGTAATATGGTGTAACGTGAATGTGTGTTCCAGATAAAGGTACAGAAATATTTTCTTCTTACCCATAATATACAAAACATCCAAAATGCAGTTAAAGCTAACGGTTCCATGTTTTACTCGATTAATATGAATTTCATTTCAAGACACATTCGATGATATTATTTTTTGCTTTTTAACACTAAAAATTTCCTTTGACATCTTCAAATTATCGATTATCAGATGTTCGATTGTCAGTTCTTTGATATCTAAATGATTTAATTTCATGACAAAAATTTATTGTACGAATTTTTTTAACTTATTAAAGAAAAAAGGATAAGTATTAAAAAAATATATATATAACATATAATATACTTATATAAAAGTGTCCATATATTTTATTTCCTAAAACTATATATATATATATATATATACAATATAAATTTCATGTATTGTTGTCTTTTTCCACATCCATTTCTTCTTCATCATTCTCTTTTGTGACCTTAGATGCTGCGAGTTTTTTAAAACCATGTTTTTTCGTATATACTCCCAGAAGTAGCAATTTAAAAACTGCTAGCGGTTTATCTAATAATTTCTGTAAAATTCGTCAAAGAAAAGGGAAGAATTAACATTTCGAAAATTCCAATGTGTTAAAGAATCTGACACGTGCGAAAAATACAAAATAGTACCAAAATTTGTGCCTGTTCCGATGTCAATACATCACCCTTCTGACAAACTTTGTATGATTTGATTAAGGTAATGACACCTTTTTGCAATGAAGTAGGCATACCCAATTGTCTCAACTGTGGCTCCATGCTGTGTTGGAACTGTGGTAGTGGTCCCTCGGGTAATTTTACCGACTGAGGTGCCACAAATCCAGCACGTGCATATTCTAATTTTTCGTACCCATTTGCCCATTCTATTACCTGTGTATTATTAACAATATAAGTACAATATAATCTTTAACTCATGTCAATTAATTTGTGATATACAGTTATCATATATTTCTAAAAATAACTTTACTTTGGTAATTTATATATAGAAATCTTAAATTTAGCTTAATATGATAGTTTAGGAAGATTCTTACATACTGACATACCTCTTTTTTTGTTCTATTGGTGAACAACAAGCCACATTGACCTTTCATTGTATGATTCCTCATTGCATTAGCTAATTTATGAATGCCATTTGCAACCTCAGTCTTTGCTGATTTTCCCAGGCCTAATGCAATTATTCTGATCTTACCAAAGAAAAGTCTACTATCTTTCCACTCGGCACGCAGATCAAGTAGCTTAGTATTGCGTGTATTCTGAATAGAGATTAGGAATACACGATTGTATTCCTCCATACATTTCTTAACATCTTCTATGATACGTTGCTTCAAAACTAAACCTTTTTTACTAGTATTGGTAAGTGATACTACAACAAAAAAAAATACTTTGTTAATATTATAAATATCTTAAATTTTTCTACAATAGTACATACATTCTCTTGCGATGTTATTATAAAGGTATCAAATATAACAATTTTACATTAAGATATATATTAAATATACAAAATCACAAAATAGATAATATCTTGTCGTGATGCACAGGCTAAGTGATTTTAGTATTTAACAAAGATGAAATTAAACTACTCCAGGAAAAAACATACTTAACCTTAACGATACTCTAAAAACATAAAACCCTTCATTATTTATTCACTACTATAAACGAGGAAAAAGAAAAGGAAGCTAAAAATTAGCATGTAAAATTTAACCTGAAAACATTTAAGTTAAAAAGATCTGCAGTATATAAAATAAAATTATAGAGGTTAATACAATTAAACTATTTTATAATACTAGGCCTAAGAATATATTATAAAATTTGATGAAATTACCTTTCTTGTCCCTCTTTGATTTCGGCATTTTTTGAAACTAAATTCTCTCAGCCAGAAAAATACAAATTATTATTATTTAAAGCTCACACTTCTAACCAAGTATCCCCACGTGTTATAGCTTTTTCTGCCAGGTTGCATTCGAAACCTTTACTCGACAGGTAAAGTAACATTTAACTGACCAATCAGGACTAAAAGATAAAGATTTCTTTATCATAATTGGTTAACTAAAAGCTACTCTACCAACCGATTAGTTTCCATATGCAGCCCTAATGGCTTCTGCCCATAGGACGCGACAACGCTTGCCGCGCGGTAGCCAATCAACGTGCCTTTTTTCCACGAGAACTGAAAGTTTATTGGTTAACATTTTCTTATTTATTATAACATGGTGTAAGGTGAATTTTAAAATTATTTTAAAATTCACCTTGAATCGTGTTATACTAAATAGAAAAATTGTCAAGCAGTCCACTAACAGCAGAATAAACTAAACTAATCACGTTGCGTGGCTCATCCCTGTATAAGATCCGATTATGAATATCGGCCATAAGCGTTGAAATTTAGTTCTGAAATCTCCACTACGAGCCGCCACTTTCCCCGACTAAGAATTTGGTCTGTTCTTTATAGTTGTACTGCTGAATTGGTGCAATAAGTTCGAATGAGATAAGTATGTTTTGTCTCGCTCTAACTTATCGTACTAGTTCAGCTATAAAGAACAGACCAGTTGAGATCGTAGTATGATTCAATGGACAAAAAAAACTATTCAATTGATTAATAAGCAAGTCCGCTGTTCATAAAATGGGCAGTTTTGCCTTGGAAGTACTCTCGAATAAAACTCTATTAAATATCAGTCTACTTTCTATCCATTTCCCACGCAATATTGTTACAACAAAAATGAACGCATTAATGCTTCACAATAACTATACAAATGCCTAGGAAAACTGTACACACATTTTTACCAGAATGGTTGCCCGAGAAGAGTCATTTCATTGGCTGGATATTATCTCTAGATAATCTTAAGAGAAAATCAGTGCCTCCGACTCGCAGTACCTAACACGAAGCTGTTATCTGTCCGTCTGTGCGATTATTTTCGCAAAATTTCTCACGTTCTCCCGTGACGTACCGAGGCGGCGTGCAACGAGCGATCGCGCGATTCGAAAAGGCGCGCCGCGGCGCGGCGGAAGCGGGCGTGCGAGCGCCCGGCAAGATGGCGGTTTCCGTTGGTCGCGACAGTGCACTCAGCGAGAGCGTAGTGAACGGTAGCTGTTGAACACGCCGAAAGCTCGATTTCTCAGGCCGCTTACAGCACTCTGAAGGTGAGTCCCTTCTGTCTAAATAACTGACGCGTACGCTCACGCGTCGGCCGTCTCGTGGCCGCGGCCGCTGTCGCGCGACGCGACCTCGGCAAGAATTGCGACGACGTGCGCCGTAACGCGCGCACGGCCCGTGCGAGCTCCGTAGCCATGCAGCTCCGACGACGACGACATCGGCGGCGCTGGCTCGTCGTCGAGATTTTGTCGATGGTAATTTACGCGAATCCTTCGCTCTCTCTCTCTCTCTCGAGTCGCGATCTATCGGTGAAATTGAGTGAAATTTTTTTGCGGACGGCATGTCGGAGCTGGGGTGTCGTCGTCGTCCTGACGACACGCCAGCGGCGAGAGGGTTCGTACGTGTAATTCGTTCGTTCATTCGTTCCTTCTTTCCTTCCTTTTCTCTTGGCCACGACATCGCGCGATCCGACGATCTGAAGGCAACCGCTTGCCGCACCGATGACGCACGAGACGCGCGCGAGCGAGATAGAGAGAGAGAGAGAGAGAGACACAGATATAGAGGAGTGCCCGTCGTCTTTCGCGGCCGCCATGTTACTTTCGCGACCGGCGACCAAATTCCTCGCACGTTGCCGGGCTATCGTGGAAAAAGGATATCTCGCCTCTTATCAGTCAGACGATAACTGGGATGCCCGAAGGGAAACGATTGGTGTGAGGGGGGAGGGAGAGCGAGACGGGTGCTCCGTTCGCTTACTCGCTCGTTCCTTTTCTCTCTCTCTCTCTCTCTTGCCCGACGACGATTCGCATCGATCGCTTTTTCCGTCTCCTTCTCTCCCTCTCTTTCTCGCTCGCACGCGCTCATTCGCTCTCCCCTTGTCCCTCTTCCTCGATTTTTTTTAACCCTTATTTACAGAACGTTCGTCCGCGAGAGTAATTGTTTGTGACATTGTACTCGTTTGCCGGTATGTTCGCGAGGTTTTCGTCATTTTCGCGAGGGGTAACGCGTTAATTGCGCACTCGGAGGAGCATCGGTAGTCGGAAAATTCGCAATTATCGAAAGACGTTCGCCGCCCGAGATCAATATACTGCGCGTATTTCGCGGCGGCGGACTTGGCGTTCCGTAAGAGAATCGCGTGTGTTAAGTAATAACGTTATTTAGTGGCACGCCGCTTGTGAAAGGTTGCCCACCTTTGCTTCCGTGCGCGCGCGTCCCGCGCAATGCATATAAACGAATGTACAAATGAAGCAAACCGCAGTGGTAATCCGCGACGAGAGACGACGAGCGTGTCCCTCGTGCGAATTGCACATACATTTGTTTATGGCCGGCTCGGTGTAATGGCTAACGCGATTTTCGCGAATGAATATTATTATTCCACATTCGCGCGCGCGAATGATTATATTCCCACGTTTCACCCACGGTTCGCGAAGATCGCGGAGGATAAAGCGACGATATCGCGCTTCCCTGTGGTCGCAGAAATTTCGCCAATGTATCGGTGGAGGAATTATCTCGGTTTCTCCGGGAAAAAAAATGTTACTTTGCGCGCTCGTCAATAGATGGCTCTTTTTGTGACACCGGACTTCCTTCTGCAACTGCAAGCGAACGCAGACTGTAACTTTAAGTACGTTGACAACCTTAGATAATTTTCTTTTTTTCATTTTGATCATTCGTAACGATTCGATGAAACATTCCTTTCATATCGAAATTAACACTCGTGGATACCAGATGTACCAGGGTTGTATTGAACATCTTATATATTCTTACACTTATATGTGTCTTCGTTTATTTTATATATTTATTTGTATATTCATGCACTGAAAGAAGAAACAGTGGTCAGGTTAAATGTTTGCTAAAGAATACATATCGGAGTAATTATTTTACTTGGATCGAGTGAAAAATATTACTTGAACGTGGTACTTTTTCTTTTCTTTCGATGTGCTACATTCAGGTAATATTTGTTTAATCCAAATAAGATCAGTACTCTGATATACCCATTAGCAAATATTTACTTGATTATAGCATTATTTCTCTCATTATATGTATATATATATATATATATATATATATNTATATATATATATATATATATATATATATATATATACATGTACGTATATTTGTACATTTTTTACATATATCGCCGCTGGTCGGGCCCATCTATCTATCACATCGCACGAATTCACGAGCCGGGCGTGTCACTCGCGTGACACGTTGATTTTTATAGCGACGTTATTTTCCACGTATCGATACCCGTGGTGTGCTATCGATTCTCAGATACCGCCGGAAGGGAACAATAGCGGCAGCTACGGAGCGCCTTCTTTTCGCCGATTAACTTTTCATAGCTTCTGATATACTCCAACCCGTCGGTTCAATATCGCGAGCGAGGCTCCCTCCCGCGTAGCTTCGCGAATTTGCGATCTCGATGTGTAATGAACGATATTATCAGATTACCTGTCCGCAATCGTCCACGCCCACCTTGCCTGTAGGTCATCGAACATGCGGCGGGGTCTGCTCTTTTCACCAAGGTCGACACCCTCTCCTTCTCCTCGTTCTCCTCTCCCCCCCCCCCTCTCCTCCTCTCCCACCTTTTCCTACTGCTCTTCCTCCTCCTCCTCCTCCACTACCTCCTCCTCCTAAGCTCTAGCTGCCCGCCGTCGTGCGTAGATCTCCACGTATTTGCGTAACGAGCGAAGGCCTCTTCTACGTCCTGGAGGCCGTCGCATTTCTCACTCTCGCGATCACTCGCGGCTTGTCGCCATTCATCCGTCGGTCGGTTTTACTGACCGGTCGTAACCTACCTACCTACCTACCTATGTATGCGAGAAAGAGATAGAGAGAAAGAGAGGTTACTCGTATACAAGGTGTCCGTGAGAAAAGTATTCAAAACTGCATCTCCCGTTGAGAGCCGGCAGTCTCGTCGACGGGATTACGATAGTTTTTTTTTTCTCTCGAATTACGAGCGATTGAAGGTGGAAACTGCAGTTTCACGCTCGATCAGCGGGATGTTCAATGTCGAAAATTGCGATATTACGGCGAGAAGGAGAACGGTGCGCGTCCGATGAATTTTTCACCGAGGTAACACCGACTCAGAGGAAACGCGCTGTTGAATCTTCAAGTTGTTTTTGTTCTACCTTTTTCTCTCGACGCTCCATATTTTTCACTATGTGTTCACGAAGAAGCACGTGTCCCACCGACGCCGTTTTATCTTTCCATGCTTTTTAGCGTGACAGTCAAAGCGAAAAATGGTCTCGTATTGCGCTATGTGCGTGTATATTTTTATCTCGCGATGGAAGAATGAGAGAAAAAAAGGACCGACGAGGTCGGCCAGATAATGAAAGAGACGCGTTGCTTTGCGAATCCGACGGTGGTGTGTGTGTGAGAGAGAGAGAGAGAGAGAGAGAGTTATTGTCTGGTTTGCGGAGAGCGAGAAACATCGCCGGGTTAATTGGGATTGATGTATCGATTGCGGTGCAATCGGGTTAGAGCAAACGCGGCCAGCTGCGAGACACAGGTGAGATCCGTTTATCAACGCGTTTCCAGAAACACGACAGTTTGTAGAGAAGATAGTTTGTACGGGAAAAGAGAGACACAGCTCGTGCGGCGTGTTCCGCGAATCCACCGTTTGAAGCTCCTAAAAGTGGAGCTTAAAGTCCCGTACAACATCGTATGTAAAAGATGAAAGGAAAATTGTCGAGAATCTCGGCGAAAAATTCTGTATGGAGAGCAAAAATATCTAAAAAAATAAAATATATGTATTTGCGGTGGGTAATAACATATTTATTTACATCAAAATATGTATTTTTACACTGAGAGAAATTTTCTGAAATGAAACAATACATCTTCTTATATTTGTAGAGTTCGTGTGTAACAATAATTATTTATTCTATATTCAAACAAAAGAATTTTGATTTAAGTAAATACGTTATTAATACTCATGGAATAAATATC